GACTAGCAGTCCTCAACCAGAAGAAAACAAGCAAACACCCATGAACTCACCCACACCTAATCACATGTACACACATGATCCTCACATACCATTATTTATTTGGAGTCAAGTACACCTTCCCTTTGAATATCTCTTCCTCCTTCTCCCCCTCCTCATCCTCCCCCTCCTCCTTCTCCTCCCCTGGTGGCTCCTCCTCCTCTTTTCCCTCTCTGCTCCTCTGTTTTTGGTCAGAGCTGGCATCTAAAGTCAGGGCTTTGCTAGCTAAGTGCTCTACTCTAGCCCATCTTTTTTAAATTATATTTTTCTTAGCATACATTAATAGTACGAGGTTTCATTGTGATGATTCCATAGATGTATATAAGCTACTTTAAACAAGCTCACCTCTGTTATATTCCTTCAGCCCCCTCCTCCCCTGCCTATCTTTTCTTAATAAGTCATTATTACATCACTGTAATTACATACAAATAAGATGCTTTTCATAACAATTGCTTCTTTGGTTACTTTCCCAAGTCCTATATATAAACATCAGCTCATCTGATCCTCATAGCAATCCCAACAGGCTCATTGTTACTATCATTATTATTATTATTATTACGTCAGTTGTGGGGCTTGAATGCAGAGCCTGGCTGTCATCCTTGAGCTTTTGTGCTCAAGGCTAGTGATCTACCACTTGGAGCTACAGCTCTATTTCCAGTTTTCTGTGGTTAATTGGAGATAAGAGTCTCATGGACTTTTTTCCTGCCCTGGCTGGCTTTGAACCTCGATCCTTAGATGCTAGCCTTCTGAGTAGGTAGGATTACAGGTGTGAGCAATCGGTGCCCAGCTAAGCTCACTATTAATCACCTCCATAGAGAAAGAAATTGAGATACTATTCTCTGCTGGGATCAGTCTCTAAGTCTGCCCCAGAAACCACTGAATCCCATGACTTCTTTCTTTTTTTTTTTTTTTTGTCGGTCATGGGGCTTGAACTCTGGTCCTGGGCGCCGACCCTCAGCTCTTCAGCTCAAGTTGAGTGCTCTACCACTTGAGCTGCAGAGCCATTTCCAGTTTTCTGGTGGTTCACTGAAGATAAGAGTCTCATGGACTTTCCTGCGCGGGCTGGCTTTGAACCGTGATTCTCAGATCTCAGCCTCCTGAGTGGCTAGGACAGCCATGAGCCACCGGTGCCTGGCAAATCCCATGACTTCTAAAAACTCTTCCACCTCTAAAATAGTAAAAATGCCATGAATATCTGAACTCATAAAGCTGGAAGCTCATAACACTGGGACAGACGATGGCACCAGGCTGACCGTGCCTCGCGCTTTACAGCTACCCCTGTGTGCCAGGCCATGCAAGGCGCTTGGCGCACCTGAGCCCAGCCAAGTATCAGCTCATCACCACTGCCTCCTCATTCAGTGCATCCTCAGGCCCCACCAGCCCTGCCCTGCCCCATGGGTGTGCTGGGGGAATTCTAGTGCTTTTGGGAACTCTGGCCTGGAATGCAAGAAGAGAAGAACCTTTTAGGGCTGGGCTGTAGCTTAGTGGAGAGCATTAGTCTAGCATGCACAAGGCCCTGGGTTCACCCCTAGCACAGGTGTGTGTGTGCGTGCATGCATATGTGCGCATGCATATGTGTGTATGCATGTGTGTGTATGTGTAGCATATTATCTCCTATTAGTCACAAATTAGGAAGCATTGGCTGCTATTGCTCTCGCCAGCTTTCTGTGGCCTAGGGGCACTACAATATTCTGGTTCCAGATGGAAAGTGTTTTAGCAGCTACAATCTATACCCCTAAAATGATGAGCAACGTTGGCAAAGACAGCTGAGGTCACTGAGACGCAGAGAGGTAACTAGACTTCATGTGGCTCACATTGCAGGCAGGGCTACATTTCACTCTCCAGAAACGGACCCACATTCTCACCTCAGCAGAGAGCACATGGGCACCAAGAAAGACTGGACAGGTCTGGGTGCTGCACAGAACTCTTAAGCGGAAGGAACAAGAGGAGGAAGAGGAAGAGGAGGACGAGGAGGGGGAGGAGGGGGAGGAGGAGCAACTGGAGGAGGAAAGGCAAGGGCAGGACAGGGCCCTCCTTCCAGCCAGAACCAGCCAGTGTTCCTGGCCTACAGGGTGACAATTAACTACCTCAGGGCTACAGTTGGACCCTTCCCCCACTGCACTCTGGCAGCACCAAGCCTTGGAGCAGGAGTGACCCTGGGGGAGGGGGCTGCCAGCCAAATACCTGCCCACCCTGGCCAGGGCCCAGGGCCAGTTCTGTGAACAGCTGGAAACAAAGTGGGCAATGGTTCTGGAACACAAGCCTTGTTTCTCACTCTCCTGGTAAAGGAATAGCAGGAAGTACAGTAAGAAATCAAAGAACATAAACGATTTACAAGGAGAATAGCCATTTTCCCCAACTCTTACAGGCACATCTATGTAGGTTTGGCAGAATCTAACAGGAAGGACAGCTTGGATGGGAGCTCATGGAGCCATTTGTTTGCTCATCAATCATTTGTTAAGCTCCTACCCAGTGCCCTGGAGACACATCCATGGAAAACTGAAGAAGGGTCCTGCCTCCAGGAGTCCACCTCTTAAAGGGGAGCCAAGTCCTTCATAAGCCAGTAAACACTACTTCACACAGTGATAAGCCTTCAGAAAGCAACCACCTATGAACGGCTCACACCGGTATCCTAGCTACTCAGGAGGCTGAGATCTGAGGATGGTGGTTCAAAGCCAACCTGGAAAAGAAAGTCCCTGAGACTCTTATCTCCAGTGAATCACCAGAAACCGGAAGTGGCGCTGTGGTTCAAATGGTAGAGCACTAACCTTGAGCTGAAGAGCTGAGAGAGGTGCGAGGAGGAGGGGGGAGAGGGGGAGGGGAGGGGGAGGGGGAGGAGGACGAGGCGGAGGCGGCAGCAGCGGTGGCGGCAACGTGACAGGACAGAAGGTACCCTGTGAGGGCCACGGAAGGGATGGACTTTAGAAATGGTTCCTTGAGGTGATTTAGAGGAGATTTAGAAATTGAGCTAGATGAGAGATCTGAAAGACAAACTGATCCAGATGAGCCAGAAAACAGCAGCGCAAAAGCCCTGAGGTGAAGTGGCTGACTGCAACTAATGTTGCTGGAGATCTCAGCAACCAGGATTCCACAAAGCAGGGCCTGGACGGCAGGGCTGAGTCCTGCGATGAGGAGGGCGGGTGGTAGATGGGAAGATAGTCAGAATAGCCAGTTTTGCCATTTTTTCTGGATGTAGTCTCCAAGGGTCCCACCTCTGGGGTGGGAGCTGGGTTTGCAATGGAGAGCTCTTGCTTCAATAGCAGTGGTAAACTTACTTGAGCTTCCTTTTTTGTATTGATAATTAAGCTTTTATAACTTCATTATATTATTTTATTATGATATTATTTATAGGTACTTAAACTTTCCCAGGCAAGGTCTCACTGTGTAGCCCATAGCGGCCCGAACTCGGGATCCTCCTGCCTCAGTCTCCCTCACACAGGGATTTCAAGTTCTCTTTTTTGAGATAGGGTCTCTGTAGGGTGTCAGATGACTTCCAGCCCTCAGCCTTGTCATTTAACTTTCCCTTCCCCTGTTCACACGACTGGTTCCTACCTAAGACGCAGCCGCGCGCGCGCACGCGCCTGCAGCGCGCACAGTGGAAACCAGGCTCCCCAGGGAAAGTGATTTTGCAGAGCAGCCAACAGTCCCGTCGGGTTCGCTCCCGGTCCTGAATCCGGGGGCTCCGGGGGTCAAAACCGCGAAGCGTGTGGACGTCGCCGTTCACCGCGTCCGCCTCCGCCCGCTCCCGCAGCGGGGAGGCCGGCTCGGGCCCAGGCCCGGGGCGCCGCCCGGGTGCACACACCTGGGGACGGGGACGGGGGGCGGGTGGACACGAGGAGAGAACGCGGGGATTCGTTCTCTGCCTTCAGGAACGGAGCGAAGGGGCAAGGGGCGGGCGGAGCGGGCCTCGGGGGCGGTGGGCGGCGCCCCGCGGGGACGGAGGGCAGGCTCGGCTGACACTGCAGCTAGGCCCCGGAGCTCGGGCTCCCTCCCTTAACCAGAGGAAGGGGGAAGAGACGTGGAGGAGAGCGGAGTGGGAAAGCAGGAAAGCGGCAGGACCTGGGGCGGGGCGGGAGGCCCAGACCAGGAAAGCCCGGGGGGACGGGGCGAGCGCTCAGCTGGGGAAGGTCCCCGCGGAGGGGCGGGGAACCAGGCGGGGCGCAGCCAATGGCCGGCTTGGAGAGGGCGGGGAGCCAGGCGACAAGAGACCAATGGGAGAAGGAGGTTGGGTGCTCCAGGGCGGGGCGAGCGTCAGGCAGTGCCAGTCCAATAGGAGAGCGCTCTGAGCTGGGGGTGGGGCCCCGGGAAGGGCGGGGCCAACGAGAGGGCGAGCCCGGAGACTCCAGCGCGCAAAGGGTGTGGGGAGGAGGGGGAAGGGAGACGGACCCGGAAGGCGGTGGGGGCGGGGAGCC